CTCTCTCTCTCTCTCTCTCTCTCTCTCTCTCTCTCTCTCTCTCACACACACACACACACACACACACACACACACACACACACAAACACCCACTTTGTGTCCATTTGTTTTGGAGAAGCATAAGACTGGATTCCCAGACAAAAAACAGCAATTGCAGTTCAGTTCTGACTCAGTACTATATTTATGCACTTCATTTACATGCTGCCTTTCCTCCATCATGGAACTCCAGGCACTGTACATGTGGGGCTCCCATCCAGGCACTGACCAGATGCATCATTTCAGCACATGCCTGCTAACCATACCTGGGTCCTTCAAGCCTTCTGAGAACTGGGACCCACTTCTAAATCAATCTCAGCCTGCAACGTTTGGGCCTGTTTTGCGACCTCTTTGTCTATCATCTTGTTCTACAAGGAAAAGGGTAAGGCTACCACTAAGGCAGCCCACCTTTGGTTGGGACACCACTCGGACATTTCACGGTGCAGCAAATAGTGAGCAAGGAACTTTTGTGTGCTATCTGTATACACCCACACATACAGGATTGATAGGGGGAAAGAATGATATTGTCAGTTGGTTTTTCCATCCTTAGAAGTCCATAGCAGTTTCTGGACAATATTCCAGAAGAGGGGATGAGGCTACATAGAATCCTTTCAGCAACCCAGAAAAGATGGACTAGCTCCATGCATCCCCTTGCCCCATAAATCCAGAAGGTTCTGCCACATCCCAACACAACTGAAACCAGGACAGAGCTATACAAACCAGGACAGAGCTATAAAAACAGCAGACTCAGTTCCAGGAAGAAGGATAAGGCTTCACCCCAACAACATCCACAAGCGGACCACTCGGGCTGTCATTCACTTACGTGGGAAAAACAGCCACATACTTTGATAGGAGAGGAAGACCAAACATTGTTTTTTGGGGGAAGTTCAGGGCAAGAACAAAATCTGCCACCCTAACCACAAGGCAGCCAAGTCTTTATCAATAAAGATCCTGCAGGACAGTGCAAATCATTCCTAACTCCAGAGGTCCTTGTAATATATAGTACCTACACAAACACAAAACCATTATGACAGGGTTTTTTTGTTAATACAGCAGAGTTAGCATCTCATCATTAATTTCCATAGTTGAGGATTTACCGGTTACAGGAGAGGGGAGCTGGTGCAAAACTGATTGTCGAAGTTACTCAGAACTGTCCCAGGGACAGATCTGGCTCAGATCCCAACTGTTACAAGTGAGCTCTTGGACCAGCCAAGCTGCAATCCATAAATATGCCAGCAGCTTATCCAGGCGTGATGGGAACACGTTAGAAATACTTCCACCAACCTCATCCTTGGGATTGCTGCCCACCATGAATCAAGCTGGGGCATGGATTGCTACGCTCCCTCAAAAGTGGCCTCTCTCCAACCCAGCCAGGGCTTAGCACCCGCAAAAAACAAACATCAGACCGATTAGCTCAATTGGGCATTCTGAGCTATTAAAAAATTTATCAACCCGCCATGTTCAAAGCAATGGTCTTTGGGGAACATGAAGGCATGGAAACATCTGGAAAACACATCCAACGGAGGCTTGAAACACAGATGGTCCTTTCACACAGATGGTCCTTTCACACAGGTAGTTTGACAGACTTCCCTCCCTTCCCATTTCTTAACTACAGCATTGTGCAAATTGACACATACAAAGCTGACTTTTGCAGTCAGACCATCAGCTTGTCTAGCCCAGCACTAATCTGCTTGGGTGAAGCAATGGCCCCTCAAGATCTCCGGCACAGGCTTCCCTTGGCCTTGATCCCACCCCCCCACCCCCAACATGCTCTTAGTTCTAAGTGCTCAAGATTGAGTTCTGGCTTGGCTGCATTCAAAACATGTGCTCCAATTCTGATCTATGGCCCCTAGCACTGGACTTAAGCCCATTTGGGTCCTTCGCTGTACTGACTAAACTAGCGACGCATTTTGTTACAAATATTTCTCATCTCACTTTCCCAGTTTGTCAACAAAACCAATAGTGGTAAAAAAAAATACCATGGCCACAATAGTTGCCGTCCCTAACCTAACTACTTCCTGTGCCACCAGGGTTGCACTTGCAGTTGAGACATACGGTGTTTTCCAAACTTTTTATGTAGTGAGGAGAAAGGGGGCCAAATAGGCACCTCATTCTATTACAGGGGACATGGAATTTAACCCGGGTCCCAAGTCACTAGACCTCAGGAGCTCACCTCTCCTGCTTTACACTACACCATTCACTGGCAGAAATAAGCTTCCTTTTACTGCTGCTGCCACCAGAATACTTTAGAGATATCAAGTCCTCTCAAAACTAAACTCTGCTCCTGCCTCCCAAGAGACTGCTCTTCTCATTAAGAATATCAGGCTTTTCCTGGCCACCTGCTCCAAGTTACCCTGGATGCAAGGGAAGCTGCGAGAATCCAGATGCCGGCAACAGCCTGCCCATCTTCTCTTTGTGCCTTGCAAAGCACGGGCCAAGGACACAGGCAGACCATTGCAACAATTTCATTTAAAAGGAAAAATGTAACTTCCCTCGTACTTGTAGTCATTGATTACTAAAAAGAAAACCACAAAGCTCAGCAATCTCCTCCCCCTACGAAGATCAGCCAAGAGGCAGACAGAACTATCTTAAAATATATAAAGAACTGTAGGTACCTCTTTGAGGAGGTGGTTAGTCTGTTTTATTAAAGTTATGTTTTTATTGATGATTTGTAAGCCCCCTTAAGCCACAGAGAATGATGGGATATAAAATAATAAAACAAGGATCACCAGGTTTCCCTTTCAGGCCATACTTGGGCCTCTCTTTCCCAGCCATTCCTGGGTTTGTCTCTTTTGTTCTCAAAGCTTTTCCAGTTTCAGATTCCGTCTCCCTTCCCTACGAGTTCCCTTCATTTCTCGGGCACTGCCTTTAAGTACTCTCAGACCCCTCCCATTCTACCTAAAGGAAAATTGCTAGGCCCCCTCTATTAGCAGATTTCTTTAGCTCACTGCTCATAAGTCTCAACCCCGAGCAATGCTCCCTCTAAGCTATGGAGTCCTGTGAGCAAAAATTCTACTTTGTGAGCTACTGGCATTAAAGTTGTGAGCGAGCGATTTTGTTGCTGCATAAGTAAGTTTGCCCTGGAGCCGTCCTTCCTGAGCTAAGACAAAAAATGTGTGAGCCAGAGGCTAAAAAACTGTGAGCTAGCTCACACTAACTCAGCTTAGAGGGAACACTGACCCCGAGGCTGCCAGAAGCAACTCCTTTGTCCTGTTGGCAACCCTTCTTGCACTAGGAAAGGGCAGAAAGACTGCAGGCTAGCTGGCAAAACCTGATCAGCAACCTTTTGCCAATGGTGAAGATGACCTCTGAGCATCAACAGAATGCACAGTTGTAATTTTTACACAGCTACCTGTGGGGTAAAATGTCATTTTACCACACACATACCCTTCATTTAAGTGAAATACACAATCTCTAGAAGAGGCTGGTTGCAGCACGAATAAGGGAAAACATAGCTTCCTACATAAAATACACAACACATGAATGATTCCATGACTCAGCATACAAATGTTACTCTACATGATTGTGCACATGGATCGTGCATGTGGATTGTTTCCCTGCTAGAAGTCCAACTATGCAAAAGGGACACTGGTCAGTCCTAGACTCTTCCCTTGACAGCATATCAGCAATAATATGTTATCCCCAATCATGTGTTCGGTTTTCATGCCGAACTCCTGTATTTTCTAAAACCACTGCTGGAGTTTCAGTGTCACAGGGGTTTACTGGCAGTCTGTAATCATTGCAAAGATGAGCAATCAGCCAGGAGAGAAAACTCTTGTCCCAAATAGATGGCCCCATCTTATCCAGCACCAAGATAACCAGCAGTCACTCCTTCTCGGCAGAAAATGAAATTGATTCTGATTTTTATGGGCAACTGAGTACTTCACTTTTTGGTATTC